GTGTGGTTCTGTAATCTGTTCAAGGGGGGATGTAGATAGAGGTGCTTGACACCTGTTCATCCCCTCCTTTTCGCTGCTTTTTGTCTTGTTTTTGAATTGTTCTTGTATTTTTGCAGTGATGAAGTGTAATAAATAAATATATATATAGGTTGCTATTTTTTAGGTGTTGGTAAATGTTTTCCTAATAATACTGTTGTGGGTGACTTGTGATGGGATGCACCTTTTATTTATCATACTAAATGTATAGCAATAATGTATTATAAACCTGAATATTTTTAGATGATGGCAGAATCCCTCTTCAAATTTACGAATGGTCTTATTTACTTTGTAATCGAAATGTTAAAAATTGGCCTTCTTAGGTTGTCTGATTATTTCAAAAAATAAATTATGTTTTGCCAGATTTAGGTTCCTGTAACAGTTCAGAAGAGTTTATGAGTAGCTAAGTATTGTAAATAATTCCCGTTTTTTTATTGAAAAACCGTTTGCGTGATGCAATCTCTAACGATGACAGACAAAGAAAAAAGCTTAGAACCGTACGTAAATTTGAATTATTTACCGAAGACTGTGTTAAGAACCGCATGAAAAGATGTTTCAGAAGGGCTTATACACTCTTTCGTTTTGGGTATGCCCCGATTTCTGTTGAAACTGGTAGTTACTAAAACATACACCTCGACCGAAGAATTTTCCCACTGTGCTACTCAAATTTTATTAAAGACAAATTTCATTGTTTTATGGTTTGTGAATTTTATGATGCATTATACGTTAAGATTTGTATAAACAGGAATAATAATATCGATCCATTATTTTTCAACTTACTTGAGATGCAAAAATATACCTATATGTTCTCTAACTGTAACCTTTGTTTTCATGTTGCTAAATTTGCTCATATGATTTTGGAAAAACGTAAAAGGTTTATATTTAACCTTAATTACCTTTACAGTATCATATATTTTGTGTATATATATGTGTGTTTGTGTGTGTGTTTGTGTGTGTGTGTGTGTGTG